ATATATATACATACACACACACGCACGCACAGACGCATGCACACACACACACACACACACACACACACACACACACACACACACTATTTAAAAAAAATATGAATCAAAATCGTACAAATCACATTCCAATGAAATCAGGATATTGTGCTACGCATAAATAAAAACAGAATAAAACGAAGCGTGACATCAATCAAGACACATTCCATGTAAGAGAACCTTTTGGTGTTGGGCATGATTCTGGCTCTGATGGCCGAGAATCCATGTTGATCATCGTCATTTTTGTCGTCCAGCAACTGAGATGTTTCGGAACTGACCTCACCTTCACTGTCTATTGAAATAAAAAGGAAAAATGATGTACAGTATTAAAAATAAAAGTAGATGTGCACATACATATACATACATATATACACATACAGTACACATACATTAACATATACATATATATTCGCATATGTATGCTGCATAAACTTCAGCCATAAGTCATAACATCATATATGTGCACACCCCAATTGAAGTTGGGACATTGTGTAAAACTCAAATAAGAGCAGAATGTGCAAATACTTTTCCAATGATCTGAACATGGTTCAGCGACAGAAAACAGGTGAGCTGTGATTGCTCGTTACCTGAGCCCTGAGCAACTGAGATGTCATTTTCAGTTGACAGAAAGTGGCAAAATTGCCATCCCCTGAGATGGCTAAAAACAGATGAATTTTGCTGCTAAACTCATATTCATCAAACACAATATGAATCAGAATGCAGTGTTTTGACTAGTGAAGGCGCGTAGAACCAATTATTGTAAATAATATCTTGGGGTTGACTGACCCTTAAAGTCTTCAAGTTCATCCATGAGTTTGGTGAGTCGGGGAAAGGGGGGGTTGGGTGGGGAGCACATAGAGCAACCACCTCTGGTGCTCATTTGAGAACCACACCAACATTTTTATGTGTACCCCTGATGATACGTTCTATGGAGCAGCGAAATGTGCACCCAGCACTGTCACTTGCAAAACATTATACCAGTACTGTATATCCTCACACACAAGCGAAACAGAAACAGAGGGTGAAATAGAGAAATGCAAAATGCCTGGCTACAATGTCCTGGCTAACAATACATAGTGTGGAACACAAAATTAACCTAGCTGGCTCGTTGAGGAAAAACATGCGGAGGTCTCCCACTAATTACAACTACATTTATTGTTATGGTGACTTGTATTTTTAATCGTCTGTTTTTGTTTGTATTTCATACTTGTCCGTCGAAATATATTTTCAACTGAAACTGGTCCTTGATGTGAAAAAGGTTGGGACCGCTGCACTGTGCTCAAAAAATATTAACCCTTTCATGCACCCTGTAACCCAATAACATGATAAGCTGTCCACTCTGGTAACCGCTGTCCCTAAAAGGGTTAATGACATCATCAATGAACCAACTTCAACACATTATCGCAGACTGAAATCTGACTCAATCTGTACAGTAGTCAGTGAACCCCTAATTTAAAGATGTTTTTTTACAACGCATTATTGCAACTGCACAACTTCTGGAAACCTATGAAAGACAAGTGAGTGTTGAAATGTGAAAGTTCACATTCATCCACTGTTGTATGGTGATTCACAGGGTTCAATTCTGGGGCCTCTGCTGTTTTCAATATATCTGCTGCGGTTGCATTCCATCTTAAGAAAACATGATATTTCCTTCCACTGCTATGCAGACAACTGTCAGGTAAATGTCCAGCAAAAAACACAGTTTCTTATTGAGGCCACTTTTGTCCTGCCTGGAGGAAATCAAGGCCAAGATGGCACTGAATTTCTTGAATTTCAATAAAAAGAAATAATAAGTGATGGTGTTTGGTCCAATTGGCCCTCGTACATCCTATCCTGTTGACTTGGGGCCTTATCTAAAGCCAACGGTCTCAAACTTGGGTCTTAAACTGAGCAGTGATTCAACAGCAGCTTGAAACAGTAATCCATGCCTTCCCGTGATACATTAGGCAAGCCACCACTCTGCTCATCTTTAAAACTCATCTTAAAACTAATACTCCTTCTTTGGCTTTTGATTCCGCATGAGATTTGGTTTTGTTTTAGTGTTTTTTTATCTCACTACTGTATGGTTTTGACTGTCTTTGTTGTATTAATATTTTTTTGCCCCACGTACTTTGTATGCAGGTGTGACTGTTTCTAGTGCTCTAGAAATACAGGCGGGTTGAGGCGAGAAATAAACAAAAGTGATCCTTTCATGATCATGAACATGTGACTGTTTGACAAAGGTGAGTCTCTCTCTCTCTCTGTCTCTCTCTGTCTCTCTCTCTCTCTCTCTCTCTCTCTCTTTTCTCTCGGCCGCCTCTCTCTCTCTCTCTCTCTCTCTCTCTCTCTCTCTCTCTCTCTCTCT